AGGTGGTATTTTCTGGTAAATGCCTCATCAAGTACCCAAACGAACGAAATCGCCCTTCTTTCAGGGCAGTACAAGTTGGCTGATGTTGCAAAGGGCAGGGATTGTGATGCTGGATATATGGTTTATAGAAAGTGTCCGCAAGATGGTGTGTAAATACCAGTAGTCGAAGGAATCTACTGGTCATTGTGCTGGACACTTCCACCCAATTCATCGTTTTCGTTCTTTCCGGTTGGTGATGCTGGAGCTAAATCCGCAACCCAAAATGCTGCTAGATAGTAGTCATCTGAACCGCTCGCTATTAAGAGATTAATCGTGCCGGTCGCCGCATTTTCTATCACAGCGCATGAAGTTTTGCCACTCGCTGACAGGGCTGCTGGTGGCGACAGTTTGGAGAAAATTCAAAACTTTCTCCGCGTAGCGATTTATTTTGTAAACGAGTAATTTTCATTTTTGAGTATTTGTTAACAAAAGGCTTGGACCATAAATTCGATTATATAATTTCGCCGTTGCAGTCCTTCCGTTCCAGACGTCCCTGAATTTGTTTGAGTTGAATCAGTAGTACCAACACTAAGTTCTAAGAATAATATTGTTAATAATGATGTCAAATGTTAACATGATAATGGGGGGGGTAGTTATCAGCTGAACTGCTGATTTTCTGACATACCGCAGGGTGAAACGTTTCTGAGCACGTTCTGAAACTCTGTTCTCAATCAACGCATCCAAGAAGCTGATTCGTCCTTTATCTACTTTCCTAATGATGAACATGATCCATCTGGTCTTGTTCTGGTCTGTCGTGAAATTTTTAAACATGGATGGACGAAAAAAAGCAAGGAGATCAAAAATAAAGCTGCTGCCTCACTGTTGATAGAAGAGGCTTGCATCACAGCTAAGTGAACACGATCGAAACTCACAATCGAAATTCACGCGTTAGAATATCGCCTAGTAGTGGAACGATCGCGTGTTGATAGAAGGTACCTGCACGCAGTTCTCGCTACGTAGATGCAACCAAGCATAGGTACTGCTTGAAAAAATGAATGCATTACTGGATGCAAAAGAACATCGACGATACGCCATTCAATACACCAAAAGAATGGTGCATAAATAGCCATAACTGAAAACACACGTGAGATCAAACATTCAGACATAGCGAACGTGCATTTTTTCCCAACATTCGAATGAAAAACGCAAAAAATATACCCCCATTATGCTTCGGAACGGCATCGATGTTTTGCCGTTCCGCTGCTCTGCGCTTTCTTCGTAGATGAGTCCAAGTGTTCTTGCTGGACTCAACGCAGAACTCAGCGTAAGTCGGTGACTTCAACCGTCGCTCCTTTGTTTCATGAAAGTCCACCTGAAACAGGCGATAATTTATTAATTACGAGAGGAACAAGTAATATTGTTTAACAAATAATTTGCTTACAATCCATTTCGTAGGCATAATCCATAAGGCTTACATCACTACATAAACGAGGTAACAGTGGCCAATGTTGTCGATGTATTCAGCCATCGCGACTAGCTGTTTATGTTAATCTTTGCATAGTCATGCACAAGACGAAAATCGTGATGAAATAACCGTTCCCATATCGTACGTGTGGATTTCCTGATCTTAACCAAAACTACTGTTTGCTCTCAATCAGATCCAAAAATCGCTTTCACAACATCTGTTGTACCGTCTGTCGTTCCGTGACACTTTCACAGTGCCTAAGCAAGGGGACCACAGCAGAAAATTTCAAAACCAATGACAGTCGAGTAATATAAACATTCAAATTACGGAATATCGCTGCAATCTATAGAATTGGGCGGCAATGTGAAGAAATCAGTCCCTCATTATGACTTTGTGTCTGCCATCAACAATAGATGATTGCTGGATATTGGCTGAACCAGTGCGATTCCAAGTACAAGTAACAATAATAAGCATTCTTCACAGAAATATGGCAACTTTACGACTTCTTTCCTCCATTCTTTGTTGAATTTGTTTTTGCTTTTGAGTAAATTGTCAAGACTTTAATAATACCACACTGGCGCAAAGCTGTCTGGCACAACAGGACGGTTTCGACTGATATTTTCAACCTTCATCAACTATAAACCATAAATTCATGCTAAACAGCGAAAAATTTCTTTAATTATTTAGGTGATGAACTTGGCTTATCGGCGATGAGAAAATTTTCATCTTTGAATCAATAGTCGATTGGAAACAAATAACGCTGTACAGAAACAATGTTAACTCTTACGGTCACAGTGTTGAAAGTGTATGAACGGAGTAAAGAAAATCACATGGCAACGTGAGATATGATATGGCACTTCTACACAGTCGGTACGAATACCTTCAACGCTCGTAACGATATATTCGACAACAATAATATTCGAGCATTCTGGTCAGGCTTTGCTAGTCATACTGCAAAACAGTGATTGATTCGATGACAGATCGATCCGAACGCTCACATAAAAGTACGAGAGTTAGTGAACCTGAGCCATTTTCTCTTTCAACAGTTAAGTTCAGTATTTTACAGAAAACGTCGAGGATTTTATTTCATCACATTTGAGACAGACGGAGAAAATGCCGTCTACATACTTTTTGTAAAACTTTGCAAACGCATCAGAGTTGATCTATCAGGCAAGACTTTTAAAGCATTCCATTAAGATTTCTGCAAAGATGAGTGAAAGCGGACTGTGAATTGGTAGCCCTGGAGAAAGACTTAGCTTCCACCATGCAAAAGGCGCATAATTTATGCTCTCGTTCAACCTATTTCCAGTTAACCTTAAACTTACGTGATCCAGGGGCTCTATGATAAATCTGAAGCAGTGCTATGCATTACATACATTTTTGTTTTGTCATTCTATATATTTTAGGATTCTGTTGAAAAATGAATTCCTTTCATCATTCTATTTCAAGAGCAAAACCTTAAAACGTCGACTTGTTGTTGCGACAAAGATCAACAAATTTCGAAACAGGACAATCGAGATACTCTCACTTGTAAACTGTTTCTTCTCCAAATCAGAAGGTTCCGACTGCAGTTCTTGTGAACGTAGTCAAAATGTCGTGCAACACATTTGCTAAGCTGTACGACAAGCAGCTACTGAACAGACT